TTAACAAAAGTTTCATCATAAAATAAAATTTTAATCAATGTCAATTGTTTATCTTCATCATTTACCGGATTAATAATACAGAAATTACAGTTCAATTACAAACAATTCATTATCATGGCTCACATCCTTCATTCAAGGCTGTGTGTCAAATATATTTTCTATTGTTTTTACTATTTCTTGCAATTTCTTCATATTTTCTCGCCGTTTAACCTTCTACTTCTACAAATATTTCAAGACTAAAGTTATTCAAATCGATCCAAAAAGTAAATAATAATTGACCAAACGTATTATGTTTTTAGAAACTTAATTTTTATCGTGAAACTAATTTTTGACGGCTGTTTGAAATACATTTCTAGTCAGTTAATTTAGATGAAGAAATACGATACCAAATATATAAACTAATCGAAAAAAGTTAAGGATATTGTGTTTTCGCTAGGAAGAAAAATTTTGAGAAAAAATGTGTTATAGCTATTAATACCTATGTCGTTTGTGTTTACAAACAACACTGTTTGTAAACATAAAAAATTGTACCCAAATAAATAAAAAGCATTATCATAAAAATGTACATTTCATTTTTGTTTAGAATATAATTTGTTTGCATGTTGCTAAGTGGTAGTTTGCGATATTGTGGTTATTCTGTCATCGATAATATGAACAGACGTCATTTAACAATAGACAGTAGTAGCAAATCAAGCCATTGGGTTGCTTCTTGGCGGTGCGCGACAGATTAATGTGGCGGATCGATTTAAAGTCACCTAAAGTGTAATTTCTAGACTTAAAAACCGATTTAATGAGACTGGATCTGTCATGAAGAGGCATAGGTAGGGTAGACCGAGGTCGACAAAATCTAGGGAGGACCGAAGCTTAATGAGAGGAGCTAGGATAGATCCTGCAAGAAACTACACGTTGCACAGCCAGGACCTTGTGGTTGCCAACAGGGTACGTATTACCCCTTACGGTCTTAAATCGATTAAAAAAAGCAGGTTTACATTGCTAAACGCCCTCCAATGATGTCGTCAGCATAAATTTCACCTGTCATTGTACCTTCACAGACATACAATTCCGTTCGGCCTCCGTAGAAAATTCCACTCCGGACCATTACACCTCTAACTCTAAATGGATGCCCTTCTTGAACATATCGGTCGTTAGGTCTTGTATTTCTTAGTCTCCACACACCAACTGTACGTCTGTCAGTACGAATACAATAGCGGCTTTTATCGCTGAACATCGCAGTATGCCACTGATCATTCTAGTTAGGTCTTTCATTACACCAGAGCAAACATTGAGCTTTATGACCTCAACCTGACTCTCGCGGTCAAGGGAGGGCGTCTTATAGGCCTTTAGCAATGTAAACCTGTTTTTTTAATCGATCTAAGACCGTCCGAGGGGTAATACGTACCCTGCTGGCAGCCAAAAGGTCCTGGCTTAGCAACGTGTATTTTGTTGCAGGATCCATCCTAGCTCCTCTCATTAAGCTTCGGTCCTCCCTAGCATTTGTCGACCTTGGTCTACCCTCCCTATGCCTCTCCATGACAGATCCAGTCTCATTAAATCGGGTTTTTAAATCTAGAAATTACACTTTAGGTGACTTTAAATCGATCAGCCACACCGATCTGTCGCGCACCGCCAAGAAGCAACCCAATGGCTTGATTTGCTTCCTCTACTGTTAAATGACGTCTGTTCATATTATCGATGATAGAATAACCACAATATCGCAAATTGCCGCTTAGCAACACGCAAATAACTTCTATTCTAAACAAAAATTAAATGTACATTTTTTATGATAATGTAAAATATATATACAAAAAATAATTTGTTTGGGTACAATTTTTTATGTTTACAAACAGTATTGTTTTTAAACACAAACGACATAATATGTAGGTATTAATAGTTATAACACATCTTTCCGAAAAATTTTCTTCCTAGCGAAAACACAATATCCTTAACTTTTTTCGATTAGTTTATTTTAGTGCAAGTTATATTTGTTTATGCCACGGGAAGTAAAATTTTTCTCTTACAGCGCAAATAAATTACTTTTTAAAAGTTCGCGTAAATAAACAAAGGAAAAAAATGGTCGAATTGCACTTTTTCCGAGGGGAGCGTAACGAGAAAAAGGTGTAATCCGAGCAAACATTTATTTTATTTTTGCGCTGGAATGTGTTTTAGGACGTATCGCAGGTTGATACATAATTTACACGCGGTTTTAGTGGTGTATTTTAGATTGTTTTTATTCGTGCGAATGTATTTTTGCGTTTTTGTTTGGCGGAGTTAAGCTAACATTATGTTTCGCGGCGGTATTTTCGGACATTAACCAGTAAAAAATTTGTCGTCGCAGTTGTTCGTTTTATGTTTAAAACCCGAGAATTAAATACTTTAACAGAACAATTTTTCAATGAAATTCCAAATATTTCAGGAGTAATATGTTTTTTTACATTTATTTAATACCGTGTTAGAACACCGGATATAGGAAATCCCATGTAAATTTTCAAAAGGCAAATATTATCACCCCAGATTATTTTATGCAAAAGTTGAATAAGACTTTTTTTAAAAGATGTTAAAGTTGTACTTTTGTCTAGAATTTCGTTTCATTTGGATAGTCAATTAAAAGTTATTTGTGCAAAATTCTACCTTCAAATTAGTAAAATTTATACATATAACATATAACATTAAAATACCAGCAAAGAGGTGATTTTCTCATTGTCAAAGTCATGTCAAATTTTGTTTACAAGAATTTGAAGGAACCAAATAGAGTAATTTTGTAAAAAATAATTATGATTTTCACAACTTCTGAAAAAGTTAAAATTGTTAAACGGCATTTTGCTGGAAATAATATTCCTGCTGTGTGAGATATGTTGGCAGCTCAGGCCCCGGAAAACTTATACCGAATAAAGCTTGATTTTCATGTATCCGTTATCCGACGATACAGTGATACGATATTCATTTTATTGGTTGAATTTAAAGACTTCGATTGATTAAAAAATTACGCAGTTTTTAAATTTATTGCATTTTCAAGCCTCCGTTCATCGGATGTACTATTTGCTTCATTTTATATTTTTATTTCCATAACTAGCAACTTTTTCTAAAGAGATTTTTAAGAAAACTGGTTCTTTAATATATATTTTGTTATGCTCTCCTGAACAGAGCGCGGACCGTCTGGCTGCCGGTAGACGTTGTGTTCACCTGCGCATCATATCATTATTTAACATCTGTTCACTACTGCGCATCACAAATTAGCCCTGTATTTCAGGAACTTAGGAGGCTAGAACAAACATATGTGCAGCATATTTAGTTTTATAAAAAAAGCAGTAAAGGAATGTGAAAATCGCTGTAAAATCATTGTATCTTTACTCAAAACACACGAAAATGGAATACCCTGTACATATGTGATGCGCAGTAGTGAACCGCAGTAGTCTACCGGCAGCCAGACGGCCCGCACTTTGATTAAGGGAACATGGCAAAAGATATATTAAAGAACCAGCTTTTTTTAAATTATCGTTTTTCCGACGTTGCTAGCTCTTGTACTATTATATTTTTATTAAGGTTAGATTAAATTTGTCAAAAAGTGTCAAAACGTCCGTTATCGTATGATCTTTCTCCGTTGACGAGCTAGAGTAAAAAATTTACGGATGAAAAGTGGCGCGAAAACGCTATGACCAATCAGAGCGCCATCGAACCATCGTATCAAAGGATAACGGATGCATGAAAATCAAGCTTAAGTCAACAGAATAAACCAATGGTTCAATAAAGGCACGGTATTAAGCAAATGTAAGAGTGAAGACAAAAATAATGAACAGGAAGAAAACAACAATGGCTTGAATATTCTTTTTCGTGTTGAAGAAAAGAAAATCACTGACTCCCGTCTATTGGGGATACAGTAGGAAAATGTGTGGAAAAAAAGTGGAGAACACTCAAAACCCGTCTTGTGAGCACATTAAACACAGAAATTTAGATAAACTGAAAACAATACCCTCTATGGAATGCTAAAGATTCTTCTTTTAACAGTTTTGCATTGTGAGGCGTGAGTTTTTTTATTAATCAGTATAGTTGTTTAATAAAGCTCCTTTAGTTACAAATATTTCATTAATTTGTTAAATTATTGTGGATGTATGTGGTATGAGCGAGGCCTGAGAGTGAGCAAGTAGTGAACACCAAATAAGTCATACACCGCGAATACTATTATTATACTGTTCAATTATTTTGTAGATGATCATTCCAATTCAGATAAAAATTAACCACCTTTTCAAAACTACGAGACTCTTGTAAACAAAATCAAAGAATATACCTAGCTAGAAAAAGAATGGATTCTGCCATACTGAAAAATGGTCCTACAGAAGTGGCGCCATCTATTGAGTAGGCCTTGTTTTAAATGGATCGAAGCGCGGGCTTTTTAAATGAGCGTATTTATTGAATTTTGCTCTAAAATATAATTAAATTTGATTATTAAATCATATTTTTTACACAAATTCAACAAAATGTGAAATCGAATTTGACAATGACAAAATCATATTTTTGCTGGTGTTTTAATTGTAGCTTTCTCTAGACCGTATTATAATTTTTTAGTAATTTGAAGGTAGATTTTTGCAAATAACATTTAGATCCCTACTCCAAAAAAAAAACGAAATTCTAGACGAGAGTACAACTCTAACGCATCTTTAAAAAAGTCTTCTAATACAATTTTTGCATAAAATCTTGTGGAAAGATAATATTTGACCTTCTGAAAATATACATGGGAAGTTTCGTGTTCCGATGCACCACATGATGCACTCGAGTTATCGCTCGAATATTCGAGAGTATTACCCGAGTTCAATTTTACATTGTTGTATGTGTTGCTATATTTTTTCGCTGAACTAATATTTTTTAGCTAAATATGCTCAGATTTGATTTTTAATGATAAGTTTGGCTTATAGGTTTTGTAGGAGCTTTGGTAAATTTATTTTCATTTTTAGCTGAGAAAAAAAAATTACTAAGAGATAAACTAATTTGTTTTTTTTTGTTCACAGTTCGCAAGGACCGTACTGGAAAGTTGCCACCCAACTACTTGGTTGGTTACCTACGCTCATAAAGAATGCAAACATCGTTTTAATCGCCTTGCTTCAATGTTGCATCTCAAACTGGGCCACGTAGCGTTCTTTCGTCACTTATAATATTAAGTTAAACTTAGGTATTCTGTATGTTATCTTAAGATTAGTTCTAATAAGAAATATTGTATATTATACATATTTTTTGAGTTCCCTCTAGTGATTTGCTTATAATGATATCTGTTCGCCTTAATGATATCTTTCGAAAATGTAAGTATGTGAAACTTATTCTTTATTTTGAAAGATAACAATAGCGAACTTATGTGCAATACGTAACTATTTTTTCGAAAAGTTCATGCTTTTGTGAGAAGGTAAAAAAGCTTAAAATGGCTTTGCATTCAACGATTTATATTAATTTTTGATACAATAACCCAAATTAGTTTAACAAAGTAAAGTAATTTATCATTTTAAAGTTCAATGAAAAGGTCGTTCCTTAGTTTTTTTAAGGTACGAAGTTTCTTTCTTGAGATCTTTGAATCCTACTCAGAAGTACATCTTGTTTATTTGGGTTATTGAAGTTAATACACCTGAGGTGAACCGCATGCAGATTTCTTTTGAAAGTCATGGCAATTTTAACTATTATTAATCTTATTTTAAGTTTACAGATAAAATCAATTTATGTAAATATTGTTTGCTTTAAATAATTTTGCTTAAACTCAGACCATTCATCGATTTAATTTTAATTTGGAGCGAATTTTGTTGTAATTTATTGAATTAGAGCATTGTGTTTCGAGTTCTATGTTTGTAAATATCTCGCTCTTCGATTATTCTATCTTCTAAATATTTTTGTTTAAAACAATATTTATTCCATCTATTAAATTATTTAATTAGGCATTTCAGTTTTTATCAAATCATCAGTCACTCTATAAACACGCTGATATGGCTTGTAGTTATGAAGGTCTTGTATTTTCACAGGGAGAAAAATAAATAAATTGTACTACTGAATTATTTTTATTTGTTCCTTTTCGAATTTTGTTTCCTTTCCTTTCCGGATGTCCAATTTTTTTTATCCTCTTTAGCCAATGGAATAAATTCTTATTGTTGATGATTTAAAATTTCAATCTTGGGATGGTAATGAAGATGTTTATATTTCCCAGTAAAGTGTTGGATTTCATCCTTAATGAAAAGACATTGAATATCCTGCGAAGGTCAATATTTTCAACAGAGCATCAAGAATGCCTTATAGAATTGGCTTTGGACTTTGCCACAAAAAAAAAATAATTTTTGCCAATAGTTCAGACTGGTTTAAGGATCTGGTTGTATATGTAACATATAACTAGCTTGTTGTATTTTAATAATATACATAGTTGTTCCAAGTGCCAATACATATTTCAAAATTTAATATCGAGCACTTTACGCTTCTTTATACAGGGTGTCCCAGTTCAAACGAAACAAGGCAATTTAAAGGCATTTCTGATGTGAAAAGGACAAAACGGTGAAACAGGTCAACTGTATTTTCGAAATAAGATGCTACTATTTTTGAAGCCCCTAATTCAAATTCCACGCGGGGGTGACATCCACTTTTAAAATCTTAAATGTAATGCGAGGTCGAGTAGCACATCATTTGAAAGGTTATTAAAGCCTCTTTTCAGCGCCGTCCCATTTTTGGAGTTTTTGTCAAATTTGGTGGAATCGGGCTGAAAAATTAATTTTTCATAAATTGATGATGCTTTAATATTTGATTAATTGTACAGGAATCGAAATGGGGTCTAAAATAAGAAATTTAGTTTAAATCGACAAGATTTTGCTTAAGGAATAATACGCAAAAAGTAGTACCCTGTTTTGACAGTTACTTCATTAAATGAAGGTGCCCGGTGGCGTAGAGGTACAGGCTCTCGTCTACCAATCTCAAGGTGTGGGTTCGATTCCCACACCCGGCATTTCATCAGCCGACTATTTTTATTAAAATAAAAATAGTTTGGGTACCTAGGTCGACTCAGCCTTAAATGAGTACTTGGGATTCACAATCCTCAGGTAATAATAGGCGGTTGAAGCGTAGTGCTAGCCACATTACCTTCCTTGTATACCGAACGGCTCTAGTATAGCAAGCTGTACCTTGCTACTCCCAAGGCGTCAAACGCTATATACGGGAGCTATTATTATATTATTACTTAATTAAATGTTCGAATTGAGCACCCCCTCCTTCCATGCACGAATACAGGTTCTGCTCAAGGCGTTCTCGGACGTGTTGTAATATTTCGGGTGTTATAACCGTGTACAATTCTTTGACGTAATACTTGTACTGTCTCCGGTTGCGTGGCGAATACTTTTGTTTTGAGATGTCCCCATAAAAAATCCAGCGGAGACAAATCCGGTGACCTAACTGGCCATTCAAGAAAGGGTCCCCTTCTTCCAATCCACCGACCGGGAAATGTTTCATCAAGATACTGCCGCACACCGCAGCCCCGGATCTACAATTTTTTTGAACCGGGGCAAAAAATTGATTGTAGCGCCCCTTCCCTACAGCGTTTCCAATAAATTAATTTAAAAAACTTACAAATATCTAGATATAGGTAGGCATTTTCGTAAACGGGGTAGAATTAGCCCTTAAGCTTCATTCAGAACCTCCGAATTAGTGGAATAACTTAGTGGTTTCAATTAGCGTAGAAGTTTGTTCCTTTAATTTCAATGTAAGCATTCAGAACGTCTAAATTATTGGTAGTCATTTTCAATTAGTAGAAAAAGTAAACAAACTTTTAAGTTTTCCACTAAATATACTTCAAATTTTGCGGGAAATGTCATTTTGGCCATTGATTAGCATCCGTCAAGAGAAATCGTGGTTAGAAATCAAAAGTTTATTGTTTTATAAGCTAAATATTTGGCTTTTTTTATGGATACATCTGACTACCGCAAGCTGTTGCTAGGATATTCTATTAATTTTAATTGTGTTTTTTAAACATTGTGAATGATCGTAAACTAAAAAGTATTGTAATTATTGAAACCACTAATTTATTACACTAATTGCGAGGTTCTAAATGAAACTTTAGAATGTGTTTAAAAACTAACTAGGCGTTTTAAAATAAAATGAATACTTGATAGAAGAACGTAAGGTGCATAATAGGCGCTTTGTGGAGTATTTTTTTTTATTTTCAACCATATCATTTGCGTAGCTAGATATTCTGTGATATTATATTATGATTTTGGCGCCCCCTGACACTGGCGCCCGGGGCGGGTGCCCCGGTTTGCCCCCCCCCCCCTTAGATCCGGGGCTGCACACACGCACAGCATAATAGTGTGGTTAGGTTAGGTTTGGTTAGGTTGAAGCTCCATCTTGTTGAAACACAAATTGATTTTCGTCATAGTGATCTTCATTGTCAATTATTTGTGTAATGCTCGGATATATGGCATTTTCCAAAAGATCCAGATTCATATTTCCATTTAGATTTCCATCCAGAAAGAACGGGCCAACTAAACAGTCGCCAAAGATTCCAGCCCACATATTAATTGTTTCAGGATACTGAATATGACCCTCACGGAATTATTTAGGACTGGTTCCATTGAGGAAAAATGTACATTCATTCGAAAAGCACATGTTGAAAAGAAGAGGTGGAGTAGCAATGAGCATTTCACTTAGTTCTTCACAGAATTGTAATCGTCTCTCGTAATCATCTTCGTTCAATTAATTCTTGGACCAGATGAAGTTTGTAAGGATGGAATTTGTGGAACTTTAGTATACTGTGAACACTACTCTTACTTCCTGTGGCTGTTACCAATTGTCTAACACTCATTTTTTTGTCCCTGAACTACTGTTTGCATCGCCTCATTGTTAACCACACCAGGTGGAACTTCTCGCTTCTTTGTAAGAACACTTCCAGTTTCTCTAAATTTAGCTACTAATTCCAGCACGTACTTTCTATTGACATGTTTATCTGGATGTCGGTCATTAAATAACTGTGCCGTTCTATTGCCACATCCGTCATGACTCAAAAAAGTTTCAATTATCTCAACTTTATCTGCAGTAGAATTAACCATCACGTTAATTCACAATAATACTAAATATTCTTACGATAATATTAAGAACAGTAAGCCGAACAAAATATTAAGAATACTTCCAAACTGAATGATAAGATGAAAAAGATTTAGCAGTACTGCCTCAAAAGAAGATAAGATATTAATAAAAACAATTTTTTACCTACCAAAAACTTGTTTACATTTTTGTTTCTTATTGGCTAGTACACGTCTTCTTTTCAACATGTGCTTTTCGGATGAATGTACATTTTTCATCTACGGAACAGTAAATCGTCAAAGCATGGTACTACTTTTTCTGTATTATTCATTAAGGAAAATCTTGTTGATTTAATCTAAATTTTGTATTTCAGATTCCGATTGTACGATTCTACCAAATGTGATAAAAACGCCAAAAATGAGAGGGCGCTGAAAAGAGGCTTTAATAACCTTTCAAATGATGTGCTACTCGACCCCGCATTACATTTAATATTTTAAAGGTGGATTCCCGCGTGGGGTTTGAACTAGTGGCGTCTAAAATAGTCGCATCTTATTTCCCCTTCGAAAATAAAATTGACGTGTTTCACCATTTTGTCCTTTTTACACTAGAAATGCCTTTAAATTGCCTTGTTTCGTTTGAACTGGGACACCCTGTATACTCTTTCAGTGCTAGCGTAGAGCTATTGATTGATGTAAATGCGGCTGTTGGTGTAAATGTATTTTTTTTCTTTATTTTAACAAAACCTTCAGCTCATTCAATATTATGATTTTCCATTTATTTGATTAGTTCTGGAAGTCATCGACGACGCCTTGTTCTAGTTTGGTGGTTTCTTCGTTTACCATTTTTGTCCACTAATAAGTAAAGCATTGCCATGTTCAAATGTTGCTACTGTCACATTCTGATTTAGGCCAGTTACTCGTATAGGATGGATATAAAACTGGTTCTAAACCTAGAACACTATCTTGGGAGGACAACGGCTTTAAATTCTTTGAAATTAGATTATTCAACTTCTTGACTAAGTCTAAAAAAACCTCCCTTCTGGATAGTACTTGAGAGATTGAGCATATTGAATAGTTAGTACCTGTTTGTTTCAGTAAGCTGTAAATTTAGAAATAGCTTTAATTAGTACTTTTTCAAGTATTAAAATATCTAAATAAAAGTAATTCATTGCCATGGAAACAAATTATAACAATGTAGCATTTCTTGTATTCATGAATCTTTCCATGTTAGTATTCATTCGGATTTAAAAATTGGAAACTATTTTCCAAAAACTTGTTGGTAGGCGAATAGCTGAAATACACTTTCTAAGAACTGGATCTCGAAAAGGTGGTATAAATATATGTACAGGGACATCATTTTAAGTGCCTCACTCAATAATTTATAATTTTACTGTTTTGTATTTAAAGATAGTAGAAAGAAATGTAATTTTCTGCGGGGATACTGATTTTCTCCCTCAAATTTTTTTAAAGCGTCAATTTTGACAGACACGACGCCCTCTTGATTTTTTTTAATGGAAATCCCCACATATTTCAGCATCTTCCGGTAGACATATGAAAAAAAATATAAAAAAGACATATAAAGATAGTTTAGTATACTTTGCGGTTACCGTTTTCGTCATAGAGTGCCTTTAAAAATGAAATGTTCCAGAGTTCCAACGTGTCTCCAAGTTTATTAATATAGTTAATATTTTAATGTAATTTTTCGAGAGAATGCCGATTTTTTATCTAAACATTTTTTAAAACATGTAATGCAGTAAAAAATCAAGATGACAGATATTTATCAAAATTGATCGTTGCAACGAACATCAACTTTTGACGTTTCTTGCGTCAAAATTAGCTGTCACAGTGACACACGTTGTCCTTGGTCCAATCTATGAACATACCAAATTTCATTAAAATCGGACGATTTTTTCGCCATTAATAATGGGGTTTCATAGTACATGAAACGTCGTCAAAATATCATGAAAAGATGGGGCTCTTCGCAATTATCAGATGACAAA